AGCTGAAAAGTCCTTGACTAGTGTAAGCACTACTTAGCAGCAACTAAAACATCAGTGTGTTATCAACATTGTTCTGGTCCTAAATCCAAAACACAGCACTGTACCAGCTACTAGGAAGAAAATTAACTCTATCCCAGCCGAAACCAGGACAATAATATACACGGATCCTTCTTTGGTTTTTTGGTTTTGTTTTCTCCCTCTTGTCTATGTCTTACTGGGTGATCCTTCTATGATGTCTTTCAATATTTGATTATTTTAGTATTTTCTTTTAATTGTTTTACTTGTCCTTACCTGATGATAAAAACATAGTTATAAAACGTGCTTGGTGGTTTAAGAATATAAGTATTACTTTCAAAAGCAACTCCAGAAGCCAATTCTTCTTGAAATGCCATTAACTTGGAAAATTAGAGGCTTCTTAGTCCCTCAGTAGCATTTGAAAACTTGAACTCAATAAGAGTACCATAGTAAGATGACTTTCAGAGGATTTTCTGTCCCTCGCTTTGGATCTTCACTGATCTAGGATAAACATTCTTTAAATTATCCAAGACTGCCATTTTGAGAAAGGCAGTCATGCATGCATACCCCCCTTTCTGGGAGGACTGCTGAGGTTGTGCTGTGCAGCGAGTCACAGCGCCAGCTCTACTGGGAAAGGAGATCGCAAGGGGCATAACAGGAAGATGGTCCTGTGGCACTGCTGGTTTAGGACAGTTGTGAAACTACCTTTAACTGGGGGCGAAAGGCAGGATGAAGTAAATTTTGATGATGAACGCACCTTCCATAGTAGCAGCTTCACTCATACCTCCCTTAAAGTCCTGTGGAGTTCAAGCGAACAGAAAGAGATTCTTCTTCACATAATACCTAGGTAAAGGGGAGTTTTAATAATGGCTATTAGTGGAACAGCAGACTGGGCGAGACTGACCTGGTGTCTTCTGACCTGGAACAGTTTATCCCTAAAGGTCACATTGTGACTTTCATGTTCTGGATTTAAATTCTACCAATAACATCTGATATACTGGGGGACGTTTGCACAGTAGCTTGTAAAATAGTTTTGCTTGTTCTTGCCTGTTTTTCATAGGAGAACAGGGAAGAAAAAATATCTGGGCATTTGTACAAGATGTTAAAAAAAATATTAAAAGACAAAATGATCAAAAAGTTTACAACCCCCAAAGATATACCAAACTGAGGTTGCTTTGCCATGCAACTTTATTCCCAATTTATATATAGATATATTTAATGGTACAGATTTCTGTACTTAATGTTATTTTTTTCCTACAGGGCCCTCCACCAGAAAGTGCAGTGTTCCACATAGTAACAGGGCCCTCCACTACTGGAAAGAAAGTCGACAGAATTTATGAGTTCTCGTTATCTGCAACAGGCAGGTGTTTTACGAAGTTACTGACCCACTGAACTCAATGAGAGCTTAATGCTTAAATAAAACTGTGGGTCTTTGTCTCAGCTACCTGATCAGCAAAATGGGAAGTTGTAAAAATGTCAGGTTAGCTGTGAAGTTACTAGAGTAATAAGTATTAAACAGAAAAAAATGTGGGGAGAATGGTATAAGTCCCTTATTTAAGCAAAGTTTGTATAACATCTAAATAAAACCTGATTTATTCACTGAATGCTGGGGTTAAAAAAGAAATGTTGTTTAGATGCTTGCTATGTTGATCACAGTCCTACCCTGTGCAGTAAAAATAACATGCATTTTTGTAATAAAGACTACTAGAATGCATATAAGCAAGTAACCGTCACCTGTATTCCATATTGCCTGTTGTCTGTATTTACAGATAAAGGTGCTGCTGGTATTGCAGAACCATTTTTATCCTAACAAAATAGCTGGAGCTTGCTAACAGGTGTTGTGGCTGCTTCTTGTTTTGTGCAGGCGTTTGGATTCAAACGCTCTTCACTGTGACTGTGAAATCCTCTGGCTGGCGGAGCTGTTGAAGACGTATGCAGAGTCAGGTAATGCTCAAGCAGCAGCTACCTGTGAGTATCCACGAAGGATCCAGGGAAGATCAGTGGCCACAATAACACCAGAAGAACTTAACTGTGGTGGGTTTGTCACTTCCTGCTGGCTTCTTTAATGTGTTAAATGTACCTAAACTGTATTTTTTGTTGTTGTGTTAGAATTTGTTGTTCTGTTCTCTTCGATAACACTGACCACCTCTGGTCAATATTGGTTATTGCCAGAAATGTCCCCGTGTTCCTTCTCAGTTTTTGTCTGCTTCTGACAGAAATGATTGCTTTTACCCTTCAGCCTATCTTTAAAGAAACAAATATAGCCAAGTTTGAAATTTCTCATTGAGGAAGTAAATGTGATTATCCGGAAAGAGTTTATTTTTCCTTTTTATATTTCAGTTTTGATCATAAAAGGATTGTCAACTAGGGTCTTTGGTGTTACGATAATATTGTTTGGTGTCCTTTATTCCCTTCTGTACAAGGGAAAGGGAAGAAAGAAGCTGAACAGAATTGCTCCTGATTTCACATAACTTATTGTTAAAACTCTTGTTGATATTATTGGAATCAGGATCAGGCCACTGGATTTCTTTTTTACTCAGCTATAGTTACAAGGAGTGCCCTGCACAGGCACTGAAATCCTCTGTCACTGAAGGATTAATGGATAATCACTTTTATTATAATCCTTTTGTTTGTCTGTATTCCCTCAGCTTAGCGGTGCAAAGGCTTGGCCCCGTGGGCCACTCTTCTGTTCCAAAATAAAAATGCAGATTTCTCATCAAGCTATGGACATTTGCCTGCCCAGCCACGTGACGAGGCCAAGATACAAAATAAATAGATTGTCCTTTTGGTTGTGTGTTGGATATAATTCTGAGCATGACAATTATGACCATAAGCATCTACAAGGTTCTTGAAAAAGATAGTAAAAAGGAGATTTGGTGCAAGAATAATTCACATGGCATCCTACCAGCTCTTTTCACATCTAAGGAGCCTGAATATGGAAACTGCGGGAAGTAAGCTGGACAAATTATTCTGTAGGAGGCAGGTTAGGCACTGATAATTATCTAGAGGAAGTTACTTTAAATGGCACTTGTGCTTGCTGCTTTAAAGTTTTTCCTTCATAAGCAAATTGAGTCTCTGTTCAAATAAATAAAACAGCTACTTCAGAACCTGATACAAATTTGCACAATCCATTTCCAGTCTGCTAAAAGGTTCTAAGGAACAATGGAGGAGGTCAGAAAGCCCGCAGTCACTTTTGCATAGGGAAAAGTGCGTTTAATTCTGGTTAAGCATATAAATATTTTAAGTTAAACCATTTGTGAAAAACATTTTTCTACAAGGTGTATGGAAAATTTTTTTATTTACCATTCTTCGGTAGTTTTAAAACAAGTAAAAGTTTCTTATACATTTTATTGTTGATACAGAGAGGCCAAGAATTACATCAGAGCCTCAGGATGTGGATGTTACCTCAGGGAATACAGTGTACTTCACTTGCAGAGCTGAAGGCAATCCTAAACCAGAAATTATCTGGCTTCGAAACAAGTAAGTTTAAAAGAGGAAGAGAGAATCTTGATGTAAGTATGTTTGTCTGGGTGTGTGTACATTTCTGGGTGCATGTCCACGCGCATTACATGCTAGTATATGGAATAGTTACAGTAGAAACATATTATAATTAAAAGAAGTATATGAAGTAATAATGGCCCATATCTGTTTTATTAGTAATTCTAAACACTTAAGAGCTGATAACTGTAGAAAATATTGATTTATGACTATAATATTATTGGTAAGATTTTAAACTGTAGTTATACCTGCAAAGTTGCTCACACCTGTAAAACTGTAAATCATTTATATGCAAGTACCAGGCAATCCAATATGGATGTGCTGCATGTGCAGTTTGAGGGTTTAGCTAGTGTTTGCATACTCTGTGCAGGTCTGTTTGCATTACATTTTGAGGCAGAGCAAAAGCTACTTTTTTAAAGGACTCCAGCTGGATAAGAGTTAGGTTTCAGAGAAGGTCTTCCTTGAGCCGCAGCTCCTCAGAGGCAGCTCTCCTCCGAGGTGTAGCTCCATTCCAGGAGAGGAGAGATATATCAACTTCCAGGCTCCCCAGACCAGTACATGGAAGGCAGGCAAGTATCACAGGATTGTAGGGTAGTTCAGGTTGGAGGGGATCTCAGGAGGTCTCCAGTGCAGCCTTCTGCTCAAAGCAGGATCATACCAGGTTGCTTTATCCAGTTGGGTCTTCAGAGTCCCCAAGGATGGAGGTGGCACAAGCTCTCTGGGCAACCTGCTCCTTCCTTGCTTCTCCTCCCTGCTTAGTAGATGAAGGGAAGGGCCTATGAAGGACGTGCGACTTTCAGCAGCCCAAGGGCCAGCCTACTGCAGAGTGGCTGCTCGAGCTCTGCCCAGTGCCTGGCTCCCTCCAGCAGCACTGGGCACAGCACGGCTGAACCAGCCACGTGGCAGCACATCGCCCCCCTTAAACTGATGTGAATTTATGATGGACACATGAATTGTGAGTTTACCACTAGATTAAGCAGACTTTGGCTTAATAATGCTCTTATACAAATTGAGAACCTGATCTGGAAAATACATTCCCTCACATTTTATATTAGCAAATGAACCACTTCAGTTTGTTAGTTGCTGATAAAATGGAACAACGTAGAGTCCTGGTTCTGTAGCTTTGTGCTGATGTCAGTGAGAACCCCACGTGCAGCAAGGGTACAGTGCTTATGGAGTATGTCAAGAACAGAGCCTTGAACTTGGTATAATTATTTCATTAAAATTTTCTTTGGCTCGTGTACTTTTTATAATAAACAAAGAAAACATGTATTCAGAATACACATATGAAAGAGTTTTAAGAAGAAATTTGAGCTTGGGGTGTGGGATTATTGACTCTGGCTTGTTTCCTGGCTGCATAAATGAGAGCAAAGCTCTTTGCAAGGTAGTTGAAAATGGCAAGATTTCAGTCAAAAGCCATCGACCTGTTGAGTGGTATGTTGAATAGATCAGCAGTCAGGCTGGGTTTTGTACATAGGGGGTGAGATCTCATCCTTCCTCTGTGCTTTCTTCATCATGTAGTGAGGGATGGAGTGAGAAACAGTTCCTTTAATAAAAACCCCTAACTGTTCTTAGGTAACGTCACAGAAATGTATCCATGACATAGCCTAAAGACCTGATCTTAATTTATGTTTCAAGCCAGTACGAATTATAATTATACAAATTATCATTAGTGCTCCTCGAGCAATCCAGACAGAGGTTGGCACAAAGATGGTTTTATAGCAGCTAACCCCTCTCCTAGTAGAAAGTATCTTGAGTGTTGAACTTATGTTATATACTTCCAGCGGAAACATTTTAAATTGATTTGCCAGTTAGAACAGCCTTAAAAGAAAATGAGACCAGGTATGTGTATTTTGTTCACTTTTTTCCCTGAAAGCTTTTACTTATAAAAGTATTTTGGCTTTTCATTTTGAAGATGTAATACTTGCATAAGCAAAACTGGTTCATTTTTTGTTTCTCCTCTTCTTCTTCTCTATAGGAGAAAACTAAAGGTTCTATTATTTTACTTAACACAGTAAAACTTTTTTTTTTCCCCAAAGTATATTGGGGAATATATTTTGGGGTTTATTATTTGGCAGTTTTCTGTGCTTGTGATTTAAAGGTTTAACTCCAGCAGATTCTTTTCTTCACAGTAATGAGCTCAGTATGAAAGAAGATTCCCGTCTAAACTTGCTAGATGATGGCACGTTAATGATTCAGAATACTCAAGAAACAGACCAAGGCATTTACCAGTGCATGGCAAAAAATGTGGCTGGAGAAGTGAAAACTCAGGAAGTTACTCTTAGATACTTTGAGTCACCAGGTAAAGAACATCAAGTCTGAATTTTGCATTCAGACAGAGAATTGTTTTGATAATAAAATTGCTAAAAATAAGATGCTTTGGCTCTTGTATGTTCTTGACATGTAGATTTCTTGTGCTTGGGCATCTTAAGATCATGTAGTTACAATATCTCTAGAACAAAAATGCAAATCAGCCTGTTAATATCTTTATTGTAATACGTAGAAGGGTTAGGAAAAGAGGCTGTTGCATTGTGATATTGCTCAGTGTAAAAATGTTCTCTCTGGATACTTGAAAACCACAAGCTTCTGAACAGGCCACTCATGAAAGCTTTGGCACACCCTGTGCAACCATCCTTGCTCAGGAGCTTTTTAGCCTGAATCTCTGTCTAGCCAGTGCTTCATGTTTGCAATCACTAAATTCCTGTCCAGGACTGTAGTGTTTTTAAATTCCAAACTTTGCTGTGAGAAAATTTTGTTTTGACGCTCAGCATCAGGTAAACTTAAAATGTCACTGCAAAGCACACATGTAGTTGGGAAAAGTTACTAAAATGTAGCTTAATCAGTTTTGTCTTTTAGGGCACTTAGGGCAATTTTTAGCCAGTTTGTTTTCTGGGTCTCAGTGTCTATGCCTGAGACCTTTATAAAGATCAGCAAATGAGAAGGAAATGTTTGAAAACTGTTGTAATGGGAGTTAAGAAAAAACATCAGTGCAATTATATGAGCTTATCTATGGATATTTATAAATGTCTGCAGCTAGATTAGGCTTAAAGTGACGCAGAGTTTGCACCAAGATTAGAAGTATGTTGGAACAGAGCTATTAAAAACCCCCTAGATTCCCCAAACTATTGCAATATTCAGCTAAATTAGTGCTATGTGAGCTAAAAGTCATATTTAGGCATCGCTCTTCTCTCACAGCCCGGCCAAGTTTTGTGATTCACCCGCAAAATACCGAAGTGCTAGTTGGAGAGAGTGTTACCTTGGAGTGCAGCGCAACCGGGCACCCTCAGCCACGAATTACCTGGACCAAAGGCGACAGAACCCCTTTACCAAGTGACCCCCGCGTCACGATAACTCCGTCAGGAGGACTTTACATACAAAATGTGAAGCAGGAGGACAGTGGCGAGTATACCTGTTTTGCAACTAACAGCATAGATAATATCCATGCGACTGCGTACATCATAGTCCAAGGTAAGTAATGTTAAACTAGGAGTGACATGCTGTGAAACATATTCGGAAGAGTATATTACTTTAAATTGTGTGGTTTTGTCTTTTTTTCTGAATTGTCCAAGCTGAACTAAAATCGTAAGAGTTTTTCCTTTTAATTACACTATTTTAGTGTAGTCCATAGGAATGTTGCTATACATTTCACTCAGAGTAAGATAACATATACTAATTCTCTGAAAGTTTCATTGATTATTCTCAGAAGTTAATTATCGGTGTTTTGAAATGTTTATTTCCTATTACATTTTGTTTACCTGTAGAAATAAACATGCAGTGTCTAATTTGTGGGGGATTAAATTTTTTCTGTAGCAGGCAGCAATCCTAGAGATTAGAATTTGTGCCTGGAGTACTAGAAATGGAGCTTCAAGTACAGATCTGAGCTGCCTTTCTTTTGTAGACACTTCAGTGGGAACATTTTCTGCTGAGTTTCATGGAAACTATCACTTTGCCAGCTGAGGCGTTAGCATTGCTTTTCTGCAAAACAAAAGTGATCACAATAATTTTGGTATTGTATGTGAATAGTAGGAAGATAAAGTATTTTGAGAACAATATATCAAAAGCCTCATATATATGGAGAATATTTTTGCCAATGTTTTCATGCTGGAGCTTTTATTTGCAAAACTTTTTGAGTAACCTTTAAATTTAAGTTTGTTTCTGTTCTCATGTTAAGATCTCTAGTTGGCAAACAGTTTAGGTTGCAAATGCTTTGCTAATGAGTTCAATTTTTAAAGCTATACAAAACAACTTGTCCATGTGGTTTGTTCATTTATTATTCACCAATGGATGATTGTGTTTTGGGAGCTGAACAAATTACTTCTCACACTGATAATGCCATGATGTTACTGCAGAAATTGGCCCGCACTCCACTTACTGCTTTCCCTTTGTATAAAGAAGAAAACAAGCGGCTCAGGATGGTTTTGACTATGTTGCATTTTCTTCATAATTTAGCTGAGGATTTTTTGAGAGAAGAGAAGAAGGTATTTTTAATCCAGGGAACACTCTGTGTTTGATTCTACAAGTCTTAACTGTACCTCTTACTTTGGATCTATGGCAGTAGATCCCAGAGGCCTTCACTGACACCAGGGCCAGATTGTGAGGGAGATGTTCCTGTTGCACAAGTGGCTGCCCTAACTCTCTGCCCTATAGCGGTCACAATATAAAAGAGTCCCATTAGCATCTTTTCCCACCAATATGAGCTATTTGAGTCACACAGGAAATGGTACGTAATTTCAGACGGTTGTGCATTTTTCAGTTGTTTTTTTTTAAGCAGTTTGTTTTCTCTTCTGCAGCTCTACCTCAGTTTACTGTCACTCCTCAAGACAAAACAGTGATTGAGGGACAAACCGTTGACTTCCCTTGTGAAGCGCAAGGCTATCCCCAGCCTGTTATTGCCTGGACTAAAGGAGGTAAGTGTGTTCCATTTTTACTTTTAAACTACTAGAATAGTTTAGCTGTCATTTTGGAATCACTCATGCATTGAAAGGGATTGCATGTATTTGTTGAGATTCTTCAGTCTCTGAAGGAAACAGGGCTCATCTGTTTCTGCTTTAGCTGGAAAAGGCAAGGTGTCCCACAGAAGCTAGCTGCCCAAGCATTTTTCATTATTCGGTAAAAAAGATTCACTAAAATATATGTCTCCATAATAGATTCCTAAGAATAAATGTTTAAGAAATATGAGACAAAATCACATGTGGCAATACCTATCGCTGCCAGTTTACTGCAGAAGAAATGGAAATGACTGTCATTAACTGGAGATCTGAAATAAGGTGGGATGTGCTCTCTTCAGAAACCAGAGCAGTCCAACCTGTAACTGGCATCAGTATAACTGCATTTCTGTCACTTAATGTGGATTGACAGGAACACTGGGGTGCACTCTGCTGACTGTTTTATCAGGTTGTGGCTGTAAAGGCATTAAGCCAAATCCGGCGGGAAGAAATACTGTAGTGGATGTTTTATCAGTAAGTAAATATTCAAGTTGAATCAATGAAATAGCTCTAGCAGGCAAAACTACTCTTAGGAAATTCTAAATTATGGTAGATAAAGGAGATTTTTAACAAACTCTTGATCATTTTGATGCTGATAATGTCCCTGTCTCTCACTCTACCGAGATTGCTCCAATCAGATGAAATGTCCAGAAAGAAAGAATAGGGTACAGACACTGATGTGCCTGTTATTTCATTTTTATTATATTCCATTTTTTCAGGGCTGTATGTATTTTTCTGTGGATTCTGTAGATGGCCTAGGCAGATGACATGAATTGTGTCTTACACACATGGCAATAATATGAAATGAACAGTAATAGTTGCTGGTGTTCTTCTTATGATGCCTTCTCATTCAGATGCTTTATCATGCTCCTTGAATGAAAATATTTATTTCTACCACAGAGAAGAGATCAGGATTATGATTGTGTGCATATGTATGTCTTGTTTGCTTTGCATGTTTTTCTTCTGAGAAGTAAAGGCTTCAAACTCTTTTTTTTTTTTAAGAGACTTTAATTTTTTCCAATGTTTTATCAAATTTAAAATCTTCTGGATTTCCCTTTTTCAGACACAAAGGGAATTTGTGCTGCACTGCTATAAATAGCAAATGCTGTTGCTTTGTGTTTCAGGAGGCCAGTTGTCTGTTGACAGAAGACACTTAGTTCTATCCTCTGGAACCCTAAGGATTTCCAGGGTTGCTTTGCATGACCAGGGACAGTATGAATGCCAAGCTGTTAATATTATCGGATCTCAACGAATTGTCGTATACCTGACCATACAGCCTAGAGGTATGTTCTCCATGTACAGCTGCTGGGGAAAAAAAAAAAAAAAAAAGATTTAAGCTTACACTAAAATACACAGTACTGTATTTGATATTTTTTTTTTTTCCCCTAAAATGTCAAATTGAGAATTAATTATGTCTGGTGGCACAAAATGTTAGTATGAAGTAGTTTATCTTTGATTAGACTTAAAAAAGCTTTTGAAACAGAGCTTGAATAGTGCTTGGGTTTTTCTTCAGGACTTTTGCTGCATTTTACAATGATTCTAAGTTGCTTGTTTTGAATTACAAGGTGTTTTATTAGTTTTTATAAATTGAGCATGTGGGACAGCGTGAACTGGTAGACTTTGTTCAAAGTCACTTGGAGATTGTATAAGCTTACAACTAAACATGGCCTTTTTTGATAAAAGCCTGTTAGAATGAGGCTATATCTCTTGTTGTTTAGAAAACTTGCTGTTCAGGGTATTGCTAACATTTCACATTTCTGAACATTATTTCTAAGTACATCTATTTTTAGATTCCAGGGTTTTTTAAAAAAATAACATGTATGGATACTTATCAGTATTTGTACAGAGTATCATTCCTTTAGAACAGTCTGTGTGCTGTGAAGGAGGTTTATCTGATTTACTCTTTTTTGTAGAGAATGGAGGTTTGCTTTGTGGCTGACAGTATTCCTGTGCTTGGGAAAGTATTTTGTTTTGTGAAAAGACTAGTTCCTTATAAGACTCTATGCTGTTAACTAAATAGTGTTATTAACATAATGTTTTGATGTCCAGAAACAGAACACTTTATTTTACAACAGCAGAATGACCTTCACAATGAAAAGTAATTCCTTATACTTAAAACAAGCTGACACAGAAAAAAAAAACCCACTCCATTTTTCTTATGCTTTTCTTCAAGTAAATTCTAAGTAAGCTACTTCTAGGATTAATTAGAATCATATTAATATTTAGAATTTAGTTAAGTGCTTTGGTGTTCAACTAAATTCACAGAGATTAAACATTTAATTCAAAGCATTTCTTGTTAGTGACCTCATTTTAAACAGTATATTAGTGAAAGGGGCTCAAATGTCTTCCTGAGCTTAGAAGTTTGTTAGAAAAAAATTCCATTGATTTTTCTTAGTTAGGAGTAGTACTGAGAGATTGATTTGTCAAAATCAAGATTTTTTTCACCTCTATAAAATTGTTGACTAAAATTCCATAAAACAAAACTCAATTTTAAAAAGTTTTATAGCCTTCTAGCTGTGTTAAATTTCACTCCAGTAAAGCTTAATAAAATGATTTTTGTGTAACTCAGGTTGCAAAATCCAGTCATCAAAAGATGGTAAATACAAGATTAAAGGTGCGTATGCAGCCTGAAATTGGAGCTCTCCATACATTCATTGCAATGCTATTTTCAATTGTGCAAGAAGAGAAAACTTTTTCTTCTGGGCTTCTAGCAAAAGGACTGTTCATCTGAGGAATGTCTAGTCAGTGGTCACTGTGGCTAAATCTGTATTAATGAATACAGATTAATGGTCCAGGTCTGTTTGCTGGCATGACATAGCTCACATCCACAAAGCAAGACTCTCTTGCCTCCCAGTGCTGGACGCCTGCCTCTGGATGCCTTATTTGAAATGGTTTCTGGTCCTTGATAGCCATTTGCGTACAAACAGTTTAACACCAGGGCCAGATTTGGTTGGTGGTATAAATGCATGCTGTGTGGCCAAATATTTCTCTGTAAGAGTGCAGCACCCTCCAACTCCCCCAAAAAGACTGATATGTTACAGCAGAAATACAATTCTTAATGTCTTCATAATCTTGTATGTGCTTCTCATGATGATATCTGAGTGCTGGATGTCAATCTGGATTTGAAGGAAATTAGGCTTAAAAAATGCATTAATTTTCTTCACACTGGATTTAGGTAACTGTGTACCCTGTGTCCTTAAAATTGGAGGTGATTTTTTTGATGTTTTAAGGCCTAGGGCTCATTGGTGCCAGGCGGGTAGGAGCTCTGTGAAGACTTAGCACCTCAGCAAGTTGGGCTGGGGGAATCACAATTGAATGAGTTGTGGAAAGTTTTGGGTTTATCATCTAAGAAATCTCTGTTGTTGCTATTTAAAAACTAAAACTTTCAAAAATTGACAGAAGTTGATGGGATATTCATTCTGGTGACTTTGTTCAGATTTAGCTATTCACAGAAATTTTTTTCAGAGCTTTTAATTTATGGAACTTAAGTGTTTTTGGCAACTACTAGCCTGTTTTGTTAGAAGTTAAGAGTACTTAAAAATCAGCCTGAAGCAGACATCAGGAATAAGGAATTTTATCTCTAAGACAAACTTGTAAGCAACTAAAAACTTGCAGACAGAATAGGGCTATAGATTGAGAAATGTTGGGTGACTGAAAAAAATAAACAGTGCTGACCTCTTCTTAGATTGTCTTTTGCGCAAGTTGTATTTCATACCTTGTCAACGTATCATTTGTTTTTTCAGTGACTCCTGTATTTGCCAGCGTTCCCAGTGACATGACAGTGGAGGTTGGCACAAACGTGCAGATCCCGTGCAGCGCTCAAGGGGAGCCAGAGCCAGTAATTACATGGAATAAGGTACTAGATAGTTAGAGTTATTAGCAGAGTTACCAGCGAATTAATGGGTTGCTAATATTGATCTTAAATTTTCCTGATTATCTTCTTCTCTTCAATTAGTGAGCATTAGAAAATGTACTTTCATGTACCTTAAATAGCTTCTAAATGCATAGCACATGAAGAATTGATACATATAAAGCTCTTGAGATCTTTTTTAGTTGGTTAATTTTGAGTAAAATCAAATATATATGTTCTCAAGATGTGCTATCTTATGTTTGGGTCTTAAATTTTATGTGGTGAGGACCTATAACTATGAAAAAACTTTTATTTATAATAATGAGTACTTTTAAAAGTAAAAAATACACTGTACAATTTAGAAGTACATGCAAGTCCTCCTGTCAACATATCAGTGTGTGAGTTTTTTATGTAAGTTTATCTAAATCTATTTGACTATTATCTTGGCATACAAAACAAATTTAAATAAAATGTAAAAATAAAAGAGAAAAAGAAGACAAAAATTCAGGTTTGAAAACAAAGAGTGTTTATAATAACTAAACATTGTGCTTTGCTGCAGGATGGAGTGCAGGTAACTGAGAGTGGGAAATTTCATGTTAGTCCAGAGGGATTTCTTACCATTCGTGATGTTGGAACAGCTGATGAAGGTCGATACGAATGTGTTGCCCGGAATACCATAGGATACTCCTCTGTTAGTATGGTGCTTAGTGTTAATGGTAAGGTGTATGAATCAGAGGTATGAGTTAGATTGTTAGTTTTATTCTAATTGCTTAATTTGTAAGATGCAAAAAAGTTAATGAAATGCTAAACTCTTTCTTTTATTCATATTTTTTTTTCTCCCATAATCCTCTCCCCTACCCCCACCCCCCTTCATTTAATTCAGGCAACTATCTGCACAGATGTGAGTAAGATGGGAATACGTCAGCCAGAATGTCTCTAGGAGTTAAGCTTCAAAACAAACAATGCTTTGGTCTCCAGTTAGTCATACTATTTTCCTCTTGAGATATTATTTGGACCTATTAGAATTTGCTAGTCGAATACACAGTCTAATCTTCAGGGATAACTTGACAAAAAGTCCTGTGGCATCTTTAAAGGGGCACTTACAGCACTTGGATGAAAACTAGGCTGCAACCATTGTGAAAGAATTCAGGAAAGTCATAATGATCTTAAGAAGCTAAAGGAGAAAACAGAAAGAAAAGGAGAATATTTAAGCTTATTCTAATTATTTGGAAGTAATAATGGCAAATAATAGTTATCAATTAGTAATACGTAGTAATTGGTAATAAAGCAGCCAAAGAAGCTAAGGAAATACCTTTGTTACACAGGTTGACCCTAATGCTTTTCTGACTTCTTGAGTAAAACTGCTGATTTTTCAGACTCATTTTTGATGGAAAATATTAAGAAAACGGATTTTTTTTTTTGTCTTTCAGTAGAAAATCTGACACAGTATTTTTGTATCATTGAAAAATGAGTATTGAACAGTGATTTCTTTAACATATTGGATATTGTTTCTCAGTGTTATGTCTGATGTTTTGTATCTTATTTACTAAATTAAAAAATATAGATCAGTGGTTCTTCTAATGTATTGATTACCATGATATCAATCACATGGTATCAATAAAACTATGATGTTCCCTTGCCTAAGTTGCTTTTAGTAGACTATCAAACTATCCCCTCCTCTAGCAAAAATAATATTTCTTCAATCTGTAAAGATGATTTCTGAGAGAAAAATTGCAGGACTGGGAATCACTCAATGATAAGGTTTCATCTACTTCATCTATGAAGTCTACAAATGAAAGAAAGTCCATAAAAATCAGTTAATCTTGGTTACTCTAGAGGTGCATAGAAAAAAAGATTTTTGTTTAAAAAAGTAAAAAAAAAAAGATTAGCCAGATCTCAAATAAATGAGAGCTCTGAAAAATGAAACCATGACTTGAACTATAACCCTAATAGAAACCAGTTTCATTCACTTAATGCGGGTGTCAACTGCTCATTCTCATCTGCTGAAATTAGCAAACTACAAAACTTGGTGCTAGATGATCTGCAGTATTTAATTGTAATGTGGTTATTTTTCTTGTAAACTGTGGCATCAATGAACCTAAAATTAGTGAAACTACCTTTGATTAATCTGCATTCAGTCTAAAAGTGTAAATGATGTTTCTCCTTAAAACTAGTGGGATATCAGATACTGTTTCTCTATGGTTGCTATAAAAATGAAGCTGTCAGAGAACCAAGGAGGACAAGTGGACAGATTATACGTATTGGATACTTGCTATCTGGATAGTATTAATAAGGGCATAGCCATAAATGCCTAAAAACTTGCATGTCAACATTTCTTTTAAACAAAGTTCATGTTTTGTGAATATTCCTAATGCAGAAAAATCTTTTCTTAACATTGAGACAGAATAAAGGCAAGCGTATAGAAGTTTGGGGGCAGGTTTTGTTGGCCATGTTTGATAATATTTTAAAGATGCTTTTCTTTTGCCATTTTCTTCTGTCCTTTTCTGTTGTTTTGTAAAAGTCTCTGGATTAAGTGTAAGGCAGGATGTGTGTGGATTAAGTTTTCGTTGCTTACAAAAATTGCCATTTTTCTCTCCCCACCCCAAAAAAAGGTATTGTGTGAAAGGCTTGCAGGGAGCTTTAACTTTTAGTATTTATCAGTCTAAAAAGAGAACTACTGGCAGCAAATAGTCTAAACAAAAATAAAGTACAGTATAATTAACATCTGACCAAGGTTTATGATTCAGCCCACGTGTACCATTAATCAGAAAGATAGCTCTGCAAAACACATATCTAAAGTGAACACCGAGATTATGCCTATGGTAGACAGCACTAGGGAAGGTAACCAGCCACCGGATTTTTACAATTTGCAATGTTGCAGTGTTAAGGTGGTTCATGGCACACAAGCACTCTCTGAAACAACTAAAACGAGGGTAGCAAACCTGTAAATGATTCTTCTCCTTGAAATAAGTAGCTTATCTGATAATGTTTCTGTATGGTTGCTATGAAAATGAAGCTGTCAAGCAAGGAGGACAGCTGGTAATTAGGACAGATCAGGGACTACTGCCGTTAGGCACTGTGGAAAGGGTCAGCTCATTTTGGATGCTGGGAGTATGTTGTCAGCAGCCCAAGGCAGCTGGACTCAGGGTAGAGAAAGGGGCTTCAGCTACAGTTATAGAGTGCCAGCGACTATTTTATTTGACAGTATAGGTGGTTAAGTTTGATTACCCAGGTCTAGACTCTGAAACTCATATAGACACAGCCTAAGCTGCCAGTTATGAAAGAATAATGAAATATTGCCTAGAAAAGGAAAAAAAAGTCATGAAAAGCTTGCAAACAACGGGTTTTATGTCAGCTGATTTTGTACATCTGCTGATTTTATTCCAGTGTATTTGCTTTGGACTTTTTCCTTACTTTACCCTTCTTCCTGTGTGACTTCTCCAATCTAAACACACTCTGGAAATTGTTAGCTGTTGCCCCTGGATCTGGTAGTTCTTGGTTTAGACTGAAAGGAAGGTTATTAGCCCTAGATACAAACATCCAGCTGCAACTGAGTACTATATAAAAAGGCAGATGAATGGCCCTATGCATTAGTGAGTTTCCAGTATTATGCAGAGTCGTTAAATAGCTTTTAAGCATGTGATTTTTAACGTAGTATTAAAAAGCTAGATAATTTAGAAGTAGAAAACAAAGTAATGATCAAAATAAATAAAATACTTATAGCCCTTTAAAATTAGTATGTGTTGCTTACTAGGCTAAGCTCAGGCGAGGAGCAATGTTAAGTTACTGTAGCTATATGGGAATATGTAAAATTCTGTGGGAATTTTTTTAATTTCATTTTTTTGTATTTTATTTGTTTTTTGTGACATCTCTTTGAATTTATGTGATGCATGTGTTCTAAAAGGCAAACAAAGTCTGTCAGTATTTTCCACTTGTTGTAACGCATTCCTGTAAACTCTTAAATTCTTACATTGAATTCAGTACTAATTCAGTACTAATTGAAATAAAAGGGAATATTTGCATTGATTTCAGTGGACAGTTGATATCAACACCTGAAAGCTGATAATACACCACACCAGAAAAAAAACCCTTAATAATCATTCATCTTTTCTTTGGTCATCTTTACTTGAAATTGTAGGACTAATTAATGGACAGTTAAATGCTGTATGCATTTATCGTCACTTTATTTTGTTTTAGAATTATAAGCAAGCTGACTTTTAAACTTATATTAACTTCTGTTTTAAATGAATTTTGCTCTACCGTAATATGCTTTGACAGAATTCCAAAATGGTTAAGAACTTTATATTTGGACGAACTAATGCTTAAAGAACAGGGCTTTACTTTGTACAACTGAAATGATGTCGTGTCTAGACTCTGTTTTATAGAAGTATCTTTTTGTGTGTGGCCATTTTTGCAATAACATGTGAATTCCTCTTTCTGTAGTCCCTAATGTCAGCCGAAATGGAGATCCTTTTGTACAAACATCAATTGTGGAAGCAATTGCGACTGTTGACAGAGCAATAAATTCAACACGTACACATCTGTTTGACAGGTATTCCCTTCTTTTTCTTATATTGAGAAGTCAAATTTAATTTTGTATATACTAGAAATAATGGAACATTTATTAAGCAAGAAGACATTTTATTATTTAAATGACATTGTTAACATCTGGTTAGTTCTGGGAACACTAACAGTTTAACACGTAAGGATTGCTATTGTTTAAACACTCCTGTTGAGACCTCTATTCGCTGCAGCAGCTTTTCTACTGCGATAATGTGTATTAAAAAGCTACTAAATGTTTAATTGCTACTAAATATTTAATGTTTTATTATTTTATTAAATTCTCTTGTTTGTTTGTTTGCCTTCCATTTTGAGATAAGTAACCAAGGTATGTGCTAATCATATTGCTGAACGTTTACGTGATTTATGTAGTATTGTTATTTTGTAACTCCTGTGTACACTTACTATTTTTTTCAAATTATCTATCAGTCGTCCTCGTTCTCCAAATGATTTGCTAGCCTTATTTCGATACCCAAGGGATCCATACACTGTTGAGCAAGCAAGAGCTGGGGAAATATTTGAAAGGACATTACAGCTTATTCAAGATCATGTACAAGATGGTCTAATGGTTGACCTGAATGGAACAAGTCAGTATTCTTCCCTTATTTTTCTGTGTTGAAGTGTATTTGCCTTCTTAAGTCATTATACTTCAAAAGACATTTATTTTCTGAGTCTGGGTCCCAGTTGCAGAACCATTACATTGAAATCAGTGGAGTATTTGACTTTGCAAAACTTTACTAAATATATGTGTTTGCCCAATTCAGTCCTTGGTTTGCACATTGCTACATTATGGTGTAACTCTGTTTGAGCTCTCTGAGTAGAGTGTTTTTATTTTTCCTCACGTTGACATATTAGGGAAAAATTCACGTTCACATTCTTCTACTGGTCAAATTTGGTATAGTGGAAGTGCATAATGTGTTCTGTTTGTTGATTCCCTGTGTGTTAATTCATTAGGACCATTGTCTCATAGCAGAACAGACTTTTCTGTTATGTATTAAAAATAATCAGTATTTATTTTGTTCATGTTTCTTTAAGTAAAACCATTTACTGTCGGCGTGCCTTGGCAAGGAGAAAAGATGATATAACAAGAAGGATTTGTATACTTTACAAACCAAGGTTTCTGCATGTACCACAATAGTATTCAAAGAATTATTTGCCACTCATTCTTTAAGTGCGTATCAAACGAAGCTAATAGTTTCCTTTAACACTGATCTGATCTAATGAGAAATACAGTTTTTGCTGCTTTTTATAAATAGCAGAAAAATGCGCGGTTTACTATTTCTACCTTTTAGTTATTGAAGTCCAAGTTCAAATTCATGAAGTCCAGCTGGAGCATATACAACTAACGTGTGTAGATATGTGTGTGGATAGGCTTGAGACATAGGACTGAAGCATTTGGAAATAATGATAGAGTTTTAGGACAGCTTTTGAGACTTGAGACATAGCCAAAAGCTACACTGAAAATCTAGAGGAAATATTTTTACTTATTATATTCTTTTTGATGTTTATAATTGAGTATTTATTGTAACTTCCGAAAAATTTAACTCTGACCGTGAACTAGGCAAGTATTTATAAGACCAAAGACTGCAAGCTTTGTGGAGTACTGCAACATTTACTAGTAAAAGAAGCTTGTTACTTATTATCAGAGCTGAGTAAATAATTTGTGATGAATAGTTTACCACAAAAACTTACACAAAATTCTTTGAAGGCTTGTTTTATAAGAGCAACCTGATTTAATTTGGTTCTCTGATGCCGTGGTTTAACCCCAGCCAGCAACTAAGCCCCACTCAGCCACTCACTCACTCCCCTGCCGGTGGGATGGGGCAGAGAATCGGAAGGGTGAAAGTGAGAAAACTCGTGGGTTGAGATAAAGACAGTTTAATAGGTAAAGCAAAAGCTGCGCACGCAAGCAAAGCAAAACAAGGAATTCATTCACTACTTCTCATCGGCAGGCAGGTGTTCAGCCATCTCCGGGAAAGCAGGGCTCCATCACGCGTAACAGTTACTTGGGAAGACAAACGCCATCGCTCTGAATGTGCCCCCCTTCCTTCTTCTTCCCCCAGCTTTATATGCTGAGCATGACGTCATATGGTATGGAATATCCCTTTGGTCAGTTGGGGTCAGCTGTCCCGGCTGTGTCCGCTCCCAACTTCTTGTCCCCCCCCCAGCCTACTCACTGGTGGCGTGGTGTGAGAAGCAGAAAAGGCCTTGACTCTGTGTAAGCACTGCTCAGCAGTAATGAAAACATCTTTGTATTATCAACACTGCTTTGGTCACAAATCCAAAACATCGCCCCATACTAGCTACTATGAAGAAAATTAAGTCTATCCTAGGCAAAACCAGCACATCTGATTAGATGCATATTCAAGCATACTGAATATAATACTAAGAATATATTAAATCTGATGTGTGAGAATTGCTTGACTACTTTTCACTAGGATTTGTAATAGTGAAATGCAATAACCTAAAGTTTACCAAAAATTGGCATTAAAGCATACACATACAAGTCAATGAACACAAAATCAGGCAGCTTTCTGTGATACTGGAAGTTCTGTTCATGAGAGCTTGCTTTCTCAGCCCTACAAAATCCATAGAAACCTGGCCTTTAGGGAAACTTGAATAGTAAAATAAATCTGTTTTCATTTAAATAGCCTAATGCTCAGATTTTAATACTTATATTTGTCCTTATTTGGTTTTATTTCAAAATGCAGAGCCCAATGAAAGGTGTTATTTACCACTTTTGCATTGGGAACGGTTGAGAAACTTGACAATTTCCCATTCAGAGACTTTTAAAATGTAAAATCTTGGAATATCCCAAGGAAAGACTATGGAGCCAAATTCTCCTCTGCAGTACCAGATTGGGTAATGGCCATTACAAGGGTAATGGCCACAAATTGGAAGGTTCAGATTGGATGTTAAGAAACACTTTCTCACCAGGAGGCCAGTGCAGCACTGGAACAACTTATCTAAAAAGGCTGAGGAGACTCAGTCTTTGGAGGTTTTCAAGCCTGCTAGACAGGGATAGAGCTGAGCTGATCCAGTGCTGGAGACAGCCTTGCTTCAAGCAGGAGCTTGGTCTGGGTAAGAGGTCCCTTCTAATCAATATTTCTGTGACTCTATGAAACATCTTCCTTGCAGTTTGAAAAAAATATAGCTAATATTATGTGAATTGAGCTAGCTAGCTTCTAAGCACTGGAAATGCTCAGCGCCCAGCCTTTTAGAAAGCAGAGTTAAAGTTAGTGCCTACAATGCGAGGGGTAATTAAGGGTCTGAGACTGGCATTTATGGCAGCCTTCAGTCTGCTCAGAAAGCTATCGAATCTAATCCATAGATGAGACATTGCCTCCAACTTGAACTTCTAAACAGAGAGGCCGAACCTTTTATTTTAAATTGGTAATGAAGGTCATTCCACCCAGAACATTCATAGTCAAGTTTTGCTCACAACGTGATTTCAGAAATGTGGGTGGCAACCAGGATAACAACAGCAGGCAGATGTTTATGTAAAGACTGCATGAATAATGATCATAAGGAAAGAACTCCATGATGAATGAAGATCATTTAAAAAGGAGTGTTATTATAAAGAAGATATGTTTTCTGGGTGTAGTTTTAGAATTAGACTGCCCTAGCAGCCAGCATATTATAATATGTTATCAATAATACCTTCAAAGAGTGTGTTTTGCTGCATTACCCAGCGGCACTTACTGATTTTGGTCTGTGGTTTATTTTTCTTTTTCCTAGTCTGGAGTATTCCATAAAATAATTTATGTATGTCTACAAGAACAGGTTAGTTTTGCCTAATGCAAGCACTAGGTCTCTAATATCTTTGCTTTGACTTGTAAACCACTTGGAGTACACGTAGCCTGAGGCTGAGAAAACATAAATCCCCTGACTGAGCACAGGTCCTGTCCCAGCTGAGCAGCTATGAGCAATCCAGTCACTTTCAAGGCAAAGACAAAGAGGGTCTTTAGGTGGTTTGTTTGAAATTGCCCTGCATTGTAGAAATTGCCAGAGAGCAGCAGCGTGTCTAGCACACACTTATGTGTTGAATGTGGATGAATGTCGGTGTCTTTGCAGGCACGCTGGGACTGAGCTCAGGACTAAAAGGAACATTTCCCGACTCTGTGCAATTAGCCTGCATCGACCTCTTGCAAAACTGCTTTCAGTTCATATTCTTGAGTGATTACCATCATGGTGGGAACCCCGTGAGCCTGTGGGAACACAATACCGCTGTACACTCACTCATTTCCTTTTTTCTTTCTGCTTTTATTCTGCTTGTTCGGTTTTACTCCTGACTACCAGCTTTCCAGATTAAGAACCATGGTGGTGTATGATGGTTCCTAGTTAGCTAAAAGTACATCTGCACTGCCAAATATTCTACCTCCTGGGCTCCCTCCTGGATCCTGGAACCTCACTCATCCACACTGTATATCCATTAATCACTTAAGGTGTGCCTATGCTTTGGATCAGCACAGCCCATTTGAAGCGAATCTCCCTGTTGTCCCCTCACTGTGCTTTGGTGTGAGTTGTGGTATGGTCTTGAACAGTGTGGATGCTTTTCAAATTAAGTGAAAAATGTGGTCCAGGGCCACACTCAGTCTAGGAGAACCAAGTAGAGCTTTTCTGAAGGAAACCTGCTCCTATTGCAGAATGGATACAGTAGGGATGTCTTTCTCAGTGTCAAAAATTTCACTCTACAGACAGATTTCTGTTGGTCTACACAAGTTGATAATATAGATATAGCCCAAATTAATGACTTTTTTTCCTGAAATGAAGCCCAAAAGTTTCTAAGAAAAAAATCACTTTTAGAATGACTCCTAATAGGTAGCATGGACAAGGCGCAGCCTGACTGTTCTGCTATTTGCAGTCACCCAGTACTGTACTAGGAGGGCTTATGGTCTTCAATCCTTCCACATGCCGTCATACCACAGCAGAGATCATGCAATACATAGCCTTAGTTTGAAGTTATAAAAACATAATTCTAATGAATTACAGTATATATTTTGTATATATTATTTTTCTATGAACTGAGAAAAAAAGCAGGAAAGTGATAAGTATGTTGTAGTCCCAGAGGTGAATGGTGTGGATTGCAGAGGAAGCCTGTGCCAAGTGTTACGCAAACACCGTTTTTCTTTAGAAACTAGTCCTGGGTAATGTGAATGTGAGTTACTCCACACCACTTGTCCTAGAGATCACTCTTCTGTTTAGCTATATTGCCTGTGGTTATTTTCTTTTGTGGTTTTTGTTGAATTTTTTTTCTTAAAATTCTGCAACTTTCACTGTAATAAAGCAAAAGAAAATAGTAATGTTCAGTGAATTATCAAGTCTCAAAAGATAAAGTCTTGAGATCCATGTAAATGTTACTGACAGTTTTTAAAGTGCTTTCACTAACATGGGGAAAAATTCCCATTTGTCTCGATATGAGGCTTTTATTTCTGAAAATATCTCCGCTTTCTTAAGTGACCAAATAAGTAATGAGCTCCTTTTGTGAACATTTTGTAAAAGTTGAACTTGAATTGGCATTTTACAAAGTTCCCTCCTGACCTAATAGTGGTTGTTGCTCAAATGACCTAGTGCTCTAATATACATATGTGATTATTATTGTTCCTTTTAAACAATAGGGATATTTAATCTGGTGGGAAATGCAATATAATAAAATAACATTTCAGATAAATTCGTGATGTGTGGGGACCGTGAGTCTAGAAAGTCTTTGATTTTCTCTTTGTCTCTCTTCTGGTTTCAGGTTATCACTATAATGACCTTGTATCCCCACAGTACTTGAATCTGATAGCTAATCTCTCAGGCTGTACAGCCCATCGACGAGTCAACAACTGCTCAGATATGTGCTTCCACCAGAAGTACAGGACACACGATGGAACATGCAACAACCTTCAGCATCCCATGTGGGGCGCTTCTCTGACAGCCTTTGAACGTCTGTTAAAGTCAGTCTACGAAAATGGATTTAATTTGCCTCGGGGAATTGAACCCAAGAGGCTCTCTAATGGCTACGCACTCCCAATGCCTCGCTTGGTTTCAACTACTCTGATCGGCACGGAAACAATAACTCCTGATGACCAGTACACTCACATGCTCATGCAGTGGGGTCAGTTTCTTGACCATGACCTTGACCTCACCGTGGCTGCCCTAAGTGAGGCCAGGTTTTCGGATGGTCAGCATTGCAGTTCAGTTTGTACAAATGATCCTCCGTGCTTTTCGATCATGATACCACCAAACGATCCCAGAGTTCGAAACGGTGCACGCTGCATGTTTTTCGTACGCTCCAGTCCAGTTTGTGGAAGCGGCATGACATCTCTCCTGATGAATTCTGTGTACCCACGAGAACAGATCAACCAGCTGACTTCATACATTGATGCGTCCAATGTGTATGGCAGTTCGGACCATGAAGCACTAGAAATCAGAGACTTGGCAAGTCAAAGGGGTCTTCTGAGACAGGGCATCGTACAGAGATCTGGCAAGCCCCTTCTTCCATTTGCTACTGGCCCACCAACAGAATGTATGAAAGATGAAAATGAGAGCCCAATTCCCTGCTTTTTAGCTGGTGATCAGCGTTCTAACGAACAGCTGGGTCTTACCAGCATCCACACATTGTGGTTTAGAGAACACAACAGAATTGCCACAGAGCTACTGAAACTCAATCCACACTGGGATGGTGACACAATATATCACGAAACACGCAAAATTGTTGGTGCAGAAATGCAACACATAACATTTAGCCACTGGCTACCTAAGATCTTTGGAGAGGTAGGCATGAAGATGCTTGGCGAATATAAGGGTTATGATCCCAGTGTTAATTCTGGCATAACTAATGAGTTTGCAACTGCCGCTTTTAGGTTTGGTCACACACTCATTAATCCTTTTCTGTATCGACTGGATGAAAACTTTGAACCTATTCCACAAGGCCATCTACCTCTTCATAAGGCATTCTTCTCTCCATTTCGGATTGTAAATGAAGGAGGCATTGATCCACTTCTAAGGGGATTGTTTGGTGTTGCTGGTAAGATGCGTGTCCCATCACAATTACTCAATACAGAATTAACAGAAAGACTCTTCTCCATGGCACGTACTGTGGCTTTAGATCTGGCAGCTATGAATATTCAGAGAGGCAGAGATCATGGAATTCCTCCCTACCATGATTTTAGAGTTTACTGTAATCTTTCTTCAGCTCAGACTTTTGAAGATCTGAAAAATGAAATTAAGAATCCTGAAATCAGGGAGAAACTTAGCAGGTGAGCCTGAGGTGAAGAAAAACAATCAATTATCTAAATGTGCATGCAAAATGAGTAGCTAAATGTCTTATCTAGAAGAAAATATTTGTTAAGAAAGGGGTAAAGGGATTTTTTAAGAAACTTCCATCCGTACCAGGAAATAGATGTGAAAAGTTCCCACATGCAGATAATTTCTCCACTTCTACGTCTCTGTGAACAATAAGTTAATATATACTGTATGTGTTCATTAAAGTATTAACTTGAAATGTCTGGTTTTATAAATGCTGTCAAATACGAATGTTATTTCAATGTAAGGTCATCTTTAATGCCAGTCTCATGCAAGTATTTACATGTTCAGTTCCATCCATTCCGTACACTAAAACAAATGGGAATATCGTTCACTGTATTTTCATGTGGACATCCTTCACAACCAGCAATCTGTTCTTCTTTAGAGCATCAGTGTTTGAAAGGAAGTCTTCAGCTACCTGCCACCCCTAGCTTATCTGCACAAAATCAGACAGAGAATTAATCTCAGCTACAGTAAAAGAAAAAATGTACAGAGCGGCAGGAAAGAGAAGCTATTGAAAAAGAAACGGTTCTAAGAAATCAGAAGAAAGCTACTAGGAGAAAGGAAATTGTGGGGTAGACTTGCAGACCCCTGTGCTGTTACTCACATATACAACCTGCATTGTGGGATTTCTTGCATATACACCCACAGGTTGTTCACAAAAGATGTTGCAGTATCACTGTCATTTTTACTGTGAGTTGTTCATATCTCTTGCCCTTAGTTTTACCACATACTGGTTATTTTGTAAATGTAAAATATTTGATATTAAATATTTGTGGTTTTCTATTTATAGGTTGTATGGTTCCCCACTGAACATAGACCTATTTCCTGCTCTAATGGTAGAAGACCTAGTTCCGGGGAGCCGACTGGGGCCAACTTTGATGTGTCTGTTAAGCACACAGTTTAGGCGTATTCGGGATGGAGACAGGTAAATTGAAATACCATGGAAACCAAAAGTAATTTAAATTGAGGATGCTTAATAGCAGTTGCAATGTCTTGTTTCTAAATCAAACTGCATTTTATTTTAATTTATGATTTTAATATAGAATTGAAAAGATAAAGAATACAGGTTTAAAACATTGTTAGAAGCTATGATTAATTTATTTTTTAAATCTGTTACTTTTTATGGTGAACATGTCATACTGACCTCCAAAAAGCACCACAGCCAACACATGCTGAGTTTCCTTTTACCAGTTATTCAAGTCACTTACCTTTCTGAAAAGTGGATGTTACTCATCTCCTTTCATTGGTATTTAATTATTTTATTGGCAAAGGAATTGTGGTGGTTGAGACACTTTCACCATCTCCGTTTCTTAAGCATGGGTTGGAAAGGATCACACTGTGTATATAACCCCTGTACATATTTCAATACAAGCAGTCTGTGCACCTTAAGAGTGTTAAAAGCAGACAGGTGATCCCAAAGAACACAATTTGATAATTGTTTTTAAATTACTTTACATGCACATTATGAGCCATTTCTCATTTTCAGTTTCTACAGTACCTGAAATAAGGAAATAGTCATTGCTGTCGTTACAGCAGCCAGATGTCCTTTGCATACTTTCAGCACACTCGTTTGGAATCTGAAAATCAACATTTTCCTAATTTTAACATAATTTGTGACCTAGAATCTTGTATTTTGCATGGCATGAGGGTAGAAAGACTTACACTGATTAGTCCCATCCTAGTGAAAGGGAAACAGAGGAAGAATTAGAACGTTAGATTTGATTCACTTTATCTAATGTTATTTGCTTCATGTAATTATAAAATTGCTACTTAAGATAGTATAAAGGCTTTTTCATTTCTGTAGTCAATAACACAAGCCTTTTTGTATGCTTTTTTAAAAAATAACTTTCTTACATAAAATCTGTTTAAAAATTAAGCTGTGAAACATAAAACTCTCATGCCTGGAGGCAGAGGGAGTAAAAGGAGAAATATACGCAGTATGAGCTCCAGATTGCTGGTGACAAGTGCCTAGTTGTGTCACAACAGGATAATGATACTGCTTTTTTGAGTGTGTCTGTTTGCATTTTTCCAGCAAATGCTTGCTTTTTTTCTTTTTTCTTTTTTTCTGAAACAACATTTAGAAACTATAGGAAAACATTGAATATTTAGGAAATGGGATTCTGCTGTCCAAAGAATACAAATGTTTTGAAGCAGCATGCCAGCAAATAGTAAAATGTTATTAGACATAATGAAAGCAACTCTCACTTCTTTGAAAAGCCTTTACAATGGGCAGAGGATCAAAGCTGCCAGCACCATGCAAAACAAATGTGCCTGTGCAGGGAAAAGGAGTGATGTTTGAAGGGAGCCTATACTTCATGTCAAGATAGAAATTTCAGAATCTGTTTTTCTGATCCCAGTACTTGGAAATTCATTGGCCGCTGTCTAATGCCTTATGAAAATGATACAATAAGTAGGTAAAATGAGATTTTTTGACCATTCTTCTAAGTTTAGTATAAAATTGTTATTGATTTTTCATAAAGTTTAAAGAGCCTCCTACTTATTTTTGGTTGACATAGGTGGAAAAAAGTATCAATATAGAATTATAACTTTACAGTTTTGTGAGATGCAAATGATATCACAGTAAGCAATTCTTATATGTTAGAATAGTGTAAAATGTTTTTAAATCCTGGACAGTATCTTAAAATGTTTTCTTTTACAAGGGCTGGCTTGCTTTTCATAGTAATTTATTATTTATATTTTCTATTGATAACAGGCTTTTAGCCCTTTATGTGTGAAAAATAAATTATTCAAAACCACGGTGTTTCTTCCTTCAATGTAATGAATTAACTGAGCATATATTAATAAGTCCCTGAATTAGTAGAGTCATTAAAATAGTTTTACAGATAAAAAATTCCTTAGTAAATTAAACAATCTCACTTATCTTGATAATAAACTAGGTATAGATTAACATTCTTCTAATCTCAGCAATTCTATCAAAGTTTTTTCATACCCGTAGGAAAGTTGTGTGGAGAAAGAAATCTATGGTAAATTAAGCCTCTACTTTAAAAGAACCCTAAACTTGGTAGTCTAGTGCCATTTTAGATGTCCAAAGACACCCAAGACATCAAAATGGGACTAGAAGAGAAGTCAAAGGATTTGTTGAATACTTGGGCCCTTTCAGAGTGTCAGCATGACACCAAGTAGGACTGAAGTGACACTAAGTGCTTACATTTTGGCATCTGGATCACTCTCTCAGATACAATGTAAAGCTGAGAACAGGATTTATGGAATAATTAATTTCATTCTGAATACAGTATTGCAATATCTCTGGAAAACTGCATGTTTTGTTTTTTCACTAGCAAACTTGTCTTTTCTGTGAGATTACAGGTTATGGTATGAGAACCCGGGTGTGTTCATGCCTGCTCAGCTCACTCAGATCAAGCAGACATCTCTTGCCAGAGTTTTATGTGACAATGGTGACAACATAACCAGGGTACAACATGATGTCTTTAAGGTGGCTGAATTCCCACATGGATATAGTAGCTGTGAAGATATTCCTAAACTGGACCTCCGGATGTGGCAAGATTGCTGTGAAGGTCTGTATACAGGTGGATTTGGGTGTTATAATGTGCACTTTGTTTAGAGTCTGTTCATTTTATTTTAAGAAGATATTTGATTGTTGTTCAGTTTTTGTTAAGATGTTGCAAACTCAAATCTGGAGCACAGCCCTTGTTAAGTGATCATTCCAAATTTTATATTAAATAGACACATTCTAAACATAGCATAGATTTGAGTATTTCATGGTGTAGATAACTGTTTTCCAGTTTTCTCCCTTTTGTGGATAAATATTCTTGTTCATTGCCATCTCCTTCAAAAGTTAGGACAGTGGGGTGATTTGTTTTTCTTCAGAAATAAACTTTTTTTCTCCAGAAACAGGGTTTACTTGGCTGCATGAAGCATAGGACACTGAGAATCCCATGTTGTTTGGTAGCATGTATGTTGGCTTCTATCTCACATACAGATTTTCTGAATGGCCTGTCTTTAGCCATCATCACATCAGACTTTACTGCATCTGTAACATAGTTAGAAGATCCCTTCCCAAGAGAATCTTCTGGATCACACAGTTTTGCAGTAGCATCAACAACAAAATACTTCAGAGGACGATGACCTCTCTTTATTGAGATCTCCTTGACAATGTTGTTATCATTTTCTTTTGACAAAACTCGAATGACATGCCCTGGCTGAAAGTAGATGGAGAGTTACTATTCAAAGATTTAGCTTTTAAACTGACTATTGTATTGTCTTGTCCAGTAAACAACTCTTTAAATAATAAATCACTGTCTAAGAAAATTCTTCCTTGGAAGGCTTGGTTCAAAATGTCAGTTATCTGTGTGAGACTAGGAGAAATAAATACTTTAGATTTCAATGAGATCTTGTACAATTTCCCCCAGATATCATTTCATTCAGGTCTTACTCTAATTTTTATCAGGTTTTTTTTTTTTTTAGGTTATTCAGATTTTTTGAACAACATTTACCAGGTTTGCCATTCCCAAATAGATGATAATAGCATATAAAACTCTAGATATGGTTGACACATTGTAATTATAATGCAAAGTCTTCCAGAATCTACTCAAAATAACTCTGACATATGCCAGAAGCGTTGAGAGAATATCAATTATCACTCTTCAAATGCTTTACCATAAGCAAATAAATCATATTCTACCAGTTCAGGATAAGTTCACTTTGCCATGGTTCATGAAGCTTGGCAGACAGTTTCACAAATACATTAATTATATCGATTTGGAAAAATTGTAAAGCTGTTCTGAGAAATTATGTGTTGATTCTCTAAATGTTATGTTATCACTGAGCCTTCTAGAGCAGATGTTATCTTTGGAAAGTCTTTAGAGTATTCAGCTGTTCAACAGCCTAGCTTGTATTTTCATTCAAGAATGTTACTACCAGAGAGTACTACTGGATGCAGTACAGTTAGGCAACTGCCAAGCAAAAGAAAGGGTAAATAACTAATGTTCTTTAAAAAATTGCCTATCTGTATCCCTTTCTTCTGAATTCTTTTGAAGTCTGTGCAGAGGTTAATGAAGAAAAAACAAAGTATGCATGGCTTGAACTGCTCTCTTGTGTGGATGAATGGGTGTGACATTTTCTGTGGGAATCCAGGTTTAAGCAATTAATTTAAAAAATTTCTTTCATTCTGTGGCACTAGGGACTCACCACTACTCTGAGGTGGTGGGCATACACAGCATACATTCAGGAACAGCATTTACTTTAAGTTAAATACATTCTGGTTTTTTGTTTCTTTGAATTTGTTATTGTTTATTATTTAAAAGAAAAAGATTAAACCATTCTCCACATTTAAAATACTTATGATGATTTTATTATTAAAATAATATGATCAAATATATATTATTAAATTATTAAATATTAATAATATTAAAATCATAATAAGTTAAAATTTAGAATACAGAATACTGTTTATTACACTTCATGTATGTTCAATAATTGACCCATATGGTCAGCTGTTTCAGCTTGGTAAAAAAACACATCTGTTTTTGTTATCCTTCCTGTTTTGTTCAAGTCAAAATACTTTTCCATATGAAGAATAGAAAAACTTCTTAGTTACAAAATGCTGCTACTTAGATTTCTTGAGTAAAGCTAGTATTTGTTTCTTATAAAGCGGAGCATTATTCCTTTTTATAATAACCAGATTACCTTTAGATTTCAGTTAACGAATCATACAACAGAATTACTAGTTTATGGTGGGAAAAAGAAGTGGTTCCACTGAGGTACACAAGGTTTTCTTCTGGTTTCCTTCACTTTTTACATTTCTTTGTCTTGTCAGAGATGGTGAGGAATTACTGCAGATTTACTGCAGCTCTCTGTTTGAGCAAAGAGCATCCAAGCTTCAGATTTTCCAAACAAGAAACTTTTGGTGCTTTTTTCAGGCTTTCTAGTCCAAAAAACCACTTTTTGTTTTTTAAGAACTCATTGTATGCTTCCATGATTACTCTTATTGACTTTGTAACTCAGTTCTGAACCCAAAACACAGAAATGATAAACTTCTCTTCCCTTGAATATAAGCATACTGTTATGGTTATGCCAAATATTTTTGTGAGATTAATTATGTAAGAAAAAGACTAGAAGTTAGGTGCAAAGACATATTGGCTCAAATGGAAACATGGTTTTACTCCAAATATGTAAATTTGAAGTGTTTTCCATTGTGAGTCTTTAAAAGTTTCACACTTTTTTTTTTTTTAATTGAAATGAAAAATTTCTTTAGCCTTTTGTTTTATGTCAAACAATGACCCAGGAGGAGGTGATTTAGACAACATGCAAGTCATCCTCATAAGCATAAATTGATTTAGGAAGGTGATTTTTCTTAACTGATTCTCAGTTAGCAACCAACATATCTCCTGTATCAGATATTGTTCTTTTTTGTTCAATTCAGGAAAACAGCCTTATGTTTTGATTAAACATTATTAATTAATGTTTAATTATTAAACTACAAATTATGATTAAACATGCTTAAATCCCACTGAATTTTATTAGAAAAGTTGACACATTCTTAATCTGAGTGCATTTATACATGGTCTTCCAGTGGGTAGACCTATATTTATGAATTCCTGCATTTTAAGACCAGACCAACAATTATGTCATCTGTTGCTTCTGTACTGACCTCTTTGATTTAAGCATTGCTTCTAGAAAGCCATCAACTATTTGTTTTAATGATTATGCTTTATTCCAAGTTAAAAATTGTCTGGCGTTTACTTCTAGTATTATATCTTATTATGCGCTTCTCATTATGCCCTTTCATCTTCAATGAAAATACTAAGCAATACTGGACTAAGCACTAAATGCTGTGGAAGACTTAACATTTTAAAATGGTAACAGCAGTCTCAGTGTGAGACTGCAAAATCTTTCATGACAATGGAAATTGCATACCAAGAACTCTTCAAAATACCAAAATGATGCAATTTATGCCTGAACATGTTTTCTCTTTACACAGATCTTGTGGTTTGCTTCTGTTATGTCATTTATTTTTGCTTTCTACATTCAAATGTATCTTTTTACATTTAAATTTACATTTAAAGACAGTGTCTATTAGCTTAATAACAATTCAGACTATGCCAGGCTACTAAAATAAAGTTCCATGGTGTCGTGGTTTAACCTCAGTCGGCAACTGAGCACCACACAGCCGCTCACCCACTCCCCCCCACCCCCGGTGGGATGGGTGACAGAATGGGAGAAGCACAAGTGAGAAAAACTCGTGGGTTGAGATAAAAAGAGTTTAATAATTGAAATAAAATGATAGTAATAATAATACGATAATAATAATAACACACAAAGCAAGTGATGCACAGTACAATTGCTCACCACCTGCTGACCGATGCCCAGCCAGTCCCCAAGCAGCGGCCCCCCCCGGCCAGCTTCCCCCAGTTTATGTACTGAGCATGATGTCACATGGTATGGAATGTCCCTTTGGCCAGTTTGGCTGTGCCCCCTCCCAGCTTCCTGTGCACCTCCAGCCTTCTCAGTCGGTAGAGCATGGAAAATTAGAAAGTCCTTGGCCAGTGTAAGCACTACCTAGCAACAACTAAAACATCGGTGCCTTATCAACTTTGTTCTCATCCTAAATCCAAAACACAGCACTGTACCAGCTACTAGGAAGGAAATTAACTCTATCCCTGCCGAAACCAGGACACATGGTCTGTAATTTTAAGGATTACATCCTTTTTTCTTTGAATAGAAGTACATTTAATATAGTCCAGCATTTCTGTATGATTACAGATATTCTTGAGAGAATCAGTATTTTTATTTATATTTCATCCAAACCAAGAATATTTTATCTTTTTCAGGTGTCCATGATCAGTAAAATACAGTTCTAATTCATGAACTTAAAATAACGATACTTAATCTATGACATTGCTTTGTCTTTGTTACCAGGGGTCTCATGCCAGTAGCTGCCATCCCTAATGAAAAGCGACAGGGAAGCAGTAGGCTGTCATTCATTCTTTAAACCCAAACTCCTGAATGAGTCCCCAGGTCTAAGATCCCAGCCTGTCAAAGTCCCGCTGCAGGCAGTAGAAAAGAGATGCCTCTAGAGGACAATTCAGGCTGCAGTCTCTTCCTGTGTCAATGTCCATTGACTGTAAAGGAAACAGGGGTAGGAAAGTGTCCTAATGGAGGTGTCTCAGTGATTTGTGCAAAACTAGGCAGTTAGAGCCTTTTCTTCTTCTCTATGGAGTGTTACTGCCTTTCTAAGACACTGATACCTTCACAGTGTAATGGGCCGGTCAGTTCTTAGTGTCCTTACTTTTCAAATTTCCAAATTTCCGTGGATTTTCAGTCTGTCTGAATTTTTTTTCCTCATTGATCTTTGATACTTATATTCTAAAAGATGCATGGTTTTGATCTGCAAAACTTTCTAACCAGTCCTGTTTAATTTTTCTGCTGGGGAGATTGGATTTGCTTTGGTTTAGCGTCAAGAATCTAATGGTTCTCCTTCATCTTCCTGCAGGCCATCCAAACCCTATTAAGATCACGCAGACATATGTTTTTAGATGTCTTTAGGCTATCATTAGCCATATATTAACAATTTACATACGTTCTGTAAATTATCTGGATATTTGCTTTCCCAGCGATGTCTGGGCCTTCTAGTTTTGGTAGCATCAGTCTGTGGGCTTCGAGGTCAAGTACAGAGAACATCTTTATTATTAGAATTCCTGAGTATGTCAGCTGGGAGATGACAGTCTGGGTTGTCACTTTATCTTCTACCTTCTATGGCGTTACTTTTGTCCGAACGTTTAAATAATGCTTATGCAAAATGCATCTCTTCCAATCTGAGCAGATTACTGTTGGATTTTAGACCAACATATTAGATTTTTTCTGCTATTTAATTTATCATTTGTTAGAAAGTCTTATTCAACAGAAGAAATGAAGAGGTGCAGCGTAATGTGAAGGGATGTGACCTATTTAGCAATAACAAAACCAGTTATTTTGAGTTAGGACTTCATTTGGAGTGAAAAGTCTTTTTCATATGTTGTGTAGTTTTTAAGTAGCTGCTTTGTCAAAACATCTACTCAAAAAAACTCTTGTGACACTTCAGATATTTTCAGTGTTTCTCCTCGCTTTTACTGCTCCCACTGGCACAACTAGGAGTTCTAGACACATACAAAAGCCTACAGTAACAGCAACTTAATTCACTACATTAAATCTCAGAAAACTGAAGTATGATCAAGTAGAAGCAACAGTTACATTATATATGCTTTTCTTCACATTCCCTTAGTCTCTCAAGTTGTTTTAGTTTAATCTACTGTTAGATTAATTCTCCTTGACCCAGATTTTGAGAGGTGATTGACTGGGAATTAAGAGTGCTCAATACTTCTAAATGTCAGGTTTTTTTCTATCCAATTTACATTATAGGTGCATTTTTAAAACTTTGTGGGAAATAGGGGATTTTCTGAAAATCTGAACATGGCTTCAATATACAAATGGGTTATCTTGACACTTGCAGTGTGACAATACCTAGCTTCTGGAAGAAACTGTCCATAGAGGAAAAAAAGAGTTATTAGGTTGCTCTTAAACATTCAGCTTTTGCGCAGAAAATTAGTTGGACTGGGTATACCTAATTTGGCGGAAATTTTAAGTAGGCTGAAAAAAGCAGAAGTTTAGGCTCATTTTTCTCATTTACCACAACTGCTAAGGTATTCTTCATTTAAAAGTAGATATAAACTTCTTGGTTTAGGCTTTCTGAAAGCTAGAGTAGAGCAGTCCGTCCTACACCTCTCAGCAGTGACAATCCTCTTCCTTGTACCTGAAACTGAAACCAAGAACAAGAGTTGTTCGTTTGGCAAGCTGAGATATTTGAGTCTTTAAAAACTGCAGAAATGTCAGGTCTGTGTACTTGAAGCTGCCACTGAACATACGGTTTTCCTATTTACCAGTCTAAGGTGATAAAACCTTCCCAGGATTTCAGGCCTTTGTTTCTAAAAACCAGCCTAGGAATAAAAAAACAATGGGCCATTGTGTTATTGTACCAAAAAAAAAAAATCTATATTATGTAAGATGACCTTAGCAGTTATTAAACAAAGGAGGATAGCAGAAACCTTTCACAAATTGCTTCCAAGAGAAACTAAAATTTCTATGACACTCAGGAAAACTTTAAGCAACAGATTGCTTTAAGAAAAATCCTCTGACCAAAACTAGTCCTTTCTCCAGTGGCCCTCCAGAGTGTGACCCCTTTTCTCACCATACTAAATATAGAAGTGTCAAAGGGTGATCAAAAATGCCTTCATGCGAAGCATCTTACAGACACAGCAGTCTGTTCCCATCTGAAAGAGCTTAGTTTCTGAGTGGGCAGCAAGAAGATTGTGTGAGAAACAGCAGAACACACAAGAAGAATGAACAATATGTTGGCAGTAAATATCTAGTTCTTTGGTGGTGCTGTTATTATAGGAGGAAGGTAACAAATTTACTCAAGAATGGGACAAGCTGCAAGGGAAGAAAAGGGAAGGAGAATTGTGTGGATAAATTGTGTTCAAGAATGTTCTGTAGGTATTGTTTTTGAACTGAAAATCAATCGGTACTTCTTTTTTGTCAGTCTTTTTTTTTCTATCTTAATTGATATTAAGCCATGGACAAACTAAGTTTTTCCTAACAGGGAAATTGTAATAGTCTAGTTTAAGTAAAAGTCCAATACAATTAAAAATAGTCCAAGATACTTATTTTTGTATAATCACAGAGTAACTTTACATTTGTTTCTCAAGTTGCTCAGTTCAACAGTTTTTTGAGGCTCTTTTCTTGACTTGAAACTTGTGAAATAATTTATGTTAATACTTTAGGTATTCGATCTAGCTTCTGCTAAATTCCAGAAAAATACTTTATAAAATGTTATTGACTTTCTGAATAAATTTGTTCTGGTGCAAGTTAAGAGAAACATTAGGGAAAATTACTTCTTCCCCTATTCAGTTGCTTTCATGGCTCATTCTGCTAATACCAGACTTAGCTGATATGTCCATGGGATTCTGTATTTCAGCTTTCCCTTCTGTTTTCTTAGCAGACTCTTTGCTTCTAACAGTTGAACCTGCTGTTGGTTCCCACTGCAGCTTGGCCCATTACAACTTTTTGTTTTAAAGCTTCTGTGAACACAAATGAGAACTTATATTTTCTCATTGTCTCCTCTCCAAAATGCCGTTCCAGTTTTGTTTTGTTTTGTTTTCCTTTTCTTTTTTAAATGGGACTCCTTCCAAATACTCACTGTGTTTGGAAGGCTAAAAAAAGTGAACTGAAGGAAAGACATACTTAATCCTGTGAAGACATCCTCTTGGGATCTTAGGAGAAGATTTCTGTCATGATTATTCTCAGGCTTGAGATTTTCACTCTACGGTGGGGTCTTAGGGTCTAAGTGACTGGTGATACCTTCAGATCCCTCAAATTTGGCAATAGGGCTGGTCAACCAGTAAAGTGTGTCTGCAAATGTTCTCCAGGATTTAATGAAAGATTCTCTTTCAAATGCCAAAAATAACAAATAATAATGCCTAGAATAGATGAGGAAGCAACAGGCTGTTTTTTCTATCATTGTTTTCCTCCATATGTAACTACCCCATTCCAAAAGCAGAAAATAATTAAAAGCCAAGTGAGTGGAAATTTCAGAAGTGAAAAGAATAGTTAAAGTAGCACTGATATATTTGTGAAAATAATCTTTATTCCTTTGTTTCATACCAAAAAGCTGGTCTGTGAATAATCAAATTCTCTGCATCCAGCTGGCTTAAATGTTGTATCACTGAGACATATTCAGCTGCCATCAAACTGATTCCAGAGGAATCAGACTGAATATATGAATTGCCTTTGCCAATTCAGAATATACTGTAAAACCATATTAATATTATAACTGCTGAATTATGCTGTAGTTTATAATGTGTAATTTCTTGTCTAATTTCAGACTGTAGAACTAGAGGACAGTTTAATGCATTTTCATATCACTTCCGGGGAAGACGTTCTCTTGATTACAGCTTTCAGGAGGACAAGCCCTTGAAGAAAATGAAAATATCCAAAACAGTAAGGTGAGATATTTCTTTTTTAAAAGAAGTATGAAAAAACATTTGTTTTCAAATTGGAATGAAACTGAATTATTTCTTTGTAAGTGCATACCACTTTTTTCCAGTGTCTGCTTTCTCAAGTTTATGATTGATGTATTTCATTCTGACACTTCTGCATATCTGCTAACAATAAACCACTTTTTTTTCAAGCTCAAATTTGTGTAAGACCCTTTGTGAGTGACACAGTATAGTGCTTTTGTTCTTACTGTGCTTTTTGTGAAAAAACTCAGTAATGAAGCGTAATTTGGGGGATTGGGAATCCCACATTCCTACTGTGCCTACAGTAACCAAACTAAATTATTTCCTTTCCTCCTTGGAGCTGCTAGGTCGTCCTGTAGAAATAGGAGGAAACCAAGTGTTGGTAACACTAGCATAAAAATTTGTGATAATGGTAGGGATTGCTTCTAGTACAAAAATACTCAGGGCAGGAATGGAGAACAGGAGCGCTACAGACAAGGTTGTTTATAACTCCCTAATCCTCAAAATATTCTAGCAAGGAAGTAAATCACAGTGTCAGTCACAAATGATCAACTGCACAGGGTTCCTGCAATTTCCAGGGAATCAAAACTTCTCTATGAATTAGTGAAACAAAATGAATTCTGCTCAGACCAAACATTTCTCATGAAGATCCTTCATGATGAGCAAATTTGAGACTCTCTTGAATTCTAGCTCTTTCCATATAGCATGTGTTCTTTTAGCAAATAAAGTTATCTACTTGACTGAGACAGAGTCTACCCACTCTGGCAAGGAAAGCAGCTAGACAGATACGTAGACAGGTAAATTTATTTCAGCAGTTTCAAATACTCATGCGGAAGTTATAGCACTGAAGAAGCACCACCATTATATTTCAGTTAATTGTTAGGAAGCTGTCCTGAAGTAACAAAGCCTTTAGGGGTTAGGATTTTAGACAAGAGGAGACAGCAGCTAAGTATAAGCTTACTTATAGACCATAGAAAAAGAAAGATTCCTTTGGAGTAATCCTTGAAGAAGGAGGTTTCATCTGTCTTTGCAAGTGAACTGTTAGAAGTTTTTAAACTTAGGAAACAGCAATTCACTTTTTAAAGATGCTAGTCCCATAATTCTAAAACTGTAGAAGGGTTAAATTAAATAAAAATGAAAGCAAGAAAAAATAAACGCTTATATCTGAGAAGCAGCTTGTTTTCATTAACTGGCTGTTTGACTGTGTTTCAGAAATGAAGCTCAAAAATCTACAACAGTCCAATTACTAATTAGGACTACAAAATAGTAAATTTACAATACTTTATTTATAACATAAATAAAGCTAAAGCAACCTTAGTCCTTTAACATTCTCATCAGTTCTCATGCTCATTGTTGTATTTAAATTGCATTTGTGGTGAGAAGATTTTTTTTCTCCTTTTTTTCCTTCTCATTTTCAATAACTTGAGCAGGTGAGGAAGATTAAACTTGTTATACAATAGCAGCTTAGCAGCTGGTTTACTTGAATTTTGGCATGTTATGTTGTTTAGAGTTCTTTTTTCTTTAATTTAGATGAAAAACTATGGGAAACTAAGTAGCTTGAACACGTGCCAGTAAGTGCTGTTTTAATTTATGTGGAAAGATTATAAATCATGAGCCCTATTATATGAGAGAGGATTTCTTTGCCAGCTCATTCTTTGGGTATCCCTTAGCTCTGGAGAAGACACACTAACAAGATAGGAATGCTTGTTTGGATTCAAGGATCTTAATGTAATAAGTGACTTAATAATTAGTGTTATCCTTGTTTCTGTATATGTATTTTTTAAGTGGTGCCAAATAATATATTACTAGTTATGGACAGATCCTTTGATAACTGTTTCCTGTCAACAGATTGAATTGATTAACACAATTTAGTGTTATACATCTCTTATCAGATATCAGCTGGAAAGTGCTATAGACAAAAGACTCTAGATTTTGTGTGCAGTAATCAGTATTGATTTCAAATGTTAGTTAAAATGGGACACAGGAATATGTTCGTATCTAAAAGTACTTCTCATTTATTTATGAAAACCAACTTTTTCCTTCTTAAAGTCATATTTCTTTAAATACACGTTTTGCTAATGAGCATATAGAGGGAGAAAATGAATCTGAACGCGAAACATGAATTTCATGTTTGGAAGTGACATTTTTTAAAACTCTCTCACTTTTGTCTGCTTTCATATTGGAGGCTCAAGAGATTTCCCAGTGTATTTAAGGTGATGCTCTACAGTGTCACTGATGACAACTTTGTGTGTCCCCCTGCATGAAATACATACGTTATTTTTCTAAGTAGAAGAAATTCCCTGTTGCTGGTCATATTAACAGTAAGCCACAGCTCACCTGACCTGAGGCTGTCTTCAGCACCAGTGGGTCTTGTGTGCTGTTGTGGTTCATACAGTTCCTACATTTGTTAGTTCTTCTTCTTTTACATTTTTGCTAAATGTTCTAAAATATCTAGCCAAATAAAAATGAGTTAGATGATTACTCTGACTTGGTGTTCATTTGTTGCAGTTCTGTGAAACAGAGTAAATATTTTCGTAATGCCACATCAGCATCTAATGAAAATACAAACATGCCCGCAGTGAATGACTTCAAAGAATTTGTTTTGGAAATGCAAAAAACTATTTCAAGCCTCAGAAACCAGGTAAGGTGCTATAATGGATAGTTTCTAATTGTAGATTTAATTTATAATGTTTTCCTAACATCACTCCTCTTATGTTTTTAATATTTAGACATCCACTGCAGCCAAAAACCACCACATAGTATCTCAAACAAAACACAACACAGAACATGGTGTGTTATTATTCTTTATTTCTATGTTCTTTTGAAATCATACTGAAATATTCTACAATTAGACCCTCTTGACTTTTGAACCTGAAGCCTTGTGTAACCATTGTATACTAAACATGGGATTAGTCTTTCTCTAAAAATTTGTCTGTAGAGTTAGTAAAATCTTTTCCTCCTATCTGAAATGTATAGAATCTATGTAAAACTATGATTAAAATGTAGACTTCATAAGAAGTAATATGCCAGATGACAGCTGTAAACATAGTTAAGATCTAGATCACTTAAAGAAGACTTTTACGATGTGGCATAAATAAACTCTTTATTCGGAATAACTCAGCCATAGTGGAATTCAGTTTTAAAAATGTATACCATACAGGACAGACAAATCCGTAGTAGGCCAAAATGTTTGCCTAGAATAATTAAGTTCCCCCAGAGCAGCTTTTCCGTGTAATTTATAGATACGAATCATATATTTATTTGCATAGTGACTTGATTCCATCTTTGATGGTATTACTTAATCATTGTCGTACTCACTTTCAATGCTCCCATTTTGACAGTGGAAACGCTGTGTTAAGACCTATTCCATTTCAGTCAGTTCTTCTGTCTTTTTTTGGATGTAAAAAAGACTGAGGGCTTGTTAAAAACTGTGCCTTCCTAATTACTGTTCCCAAGAAGCACACAATCAGCAAGGTAGAATAATCATATAGCCCCTTTTTTTCATCATGAAGGAAAAAATAGAGTCAAAAATCCAAGCAAACATTTTTAATTAAGTTTATTGTTTTTATTTCACCTTTTCATTCAGACATTTTTGAAAGTTTAGATGTCTTTCCATATATGTCACATGTAGTTTGCTTCTCTTTGTATGCTCTAGTTGTGTATTCCAATGGTAGGAAAGATGTATCTTCTGTTAGTTTTCTTTTGAAAGGCTGTTTCCATACGTATTACCTGTTTCCAATCTTTCAGCATTATGAAAACTAAGTAGTGAGAAGAAAAACTCAGACAGGTATTTATCATGGATTATGTAGCATAAGAGAAAAGACAGAATACCTTACACAAAAACCTTTCAGTTGTTAACTTTTTTTAATGTTTTCAGATAAAAAAACTTGAATCACGCCTCAGTAAAACTGATTGCACTGATGAAAAGGGTAAATCATATTCCAGCAATGAAACCTGGAAAAGGGACCCTTGTACTGTGTGTGAATGCAAAGTAAGTATGTGGAAATCCATTCTGAGATAGAAATTATATTAGGTTCTGCTTCTAAAACAGCAGTTCCAGTTTTGTGCCTGCTAATTCCTGGGTAATAGTTGCTAATTGTTTTTTTATGGACCTTCAGTTATGTGGTGTGAAAAATTATATTGTTCAGCTATCCCTGCCCTTGACACCGGTTTTCAATCCAGCCTTTATATACTTTTATATTTCCATTTTCATTGATGTATGGTTGTACTGGCAAAATTAACTGCGAAGTAAGAGACTTCTTGAAAAAGTCTACTAAAGTGCATAAAAAGCAATAAAAGCTCATCTGACAGTGCTAGATTTTGGTTTTCTTTTATCATGGTGAAATTTTAAAAAAGGTAGTTGAAGAAATATGTCAGTACTTGGTATCCCAGAGTTTCATGCCTGAACGTTAGATAAAATGGTATACTGCTCCATTAAAGATGGTATAATACAAAGAGCCTTCTCAGTATCAGTTTATGCTGAAATAAACTATGTGGAGTTAATCTTAGTAGCCAAGATCTTAGAGAGAATGAGAACATGTTCTTCAATAAAATGAAAAATGTATTTCTTGTTTGGAAAATGTAGCTAAGTATGTTCTGGTTTTGTCTCTTTTTTCCCTGACACAGGTTGGTCAGATTACCTGTTTTGTAGAATCATGCCCGCCGGCTGACTGCGAAGCGCCTGTGAAGGTTAAAGGAGATTGCTGTCCAGTCTGCTTAAAACAAAACATTAATAAAAAGAAGCCATAAGTCTGCTTTTTAATAATTTAGGGTGCATACTCCTCAAATCATATCAATGCCTGCTGATGGCAAAAACAGGTAACTACAGTCTTAACAACAGCAATAAATCAAGATTTACAACATTCTAATGGTGCTGTAACAGTATATCATAATGTATCGTTTTATTTTCTGCCCATGAAGGTAATCACAATGCAAAAATTAACGAAAGGGAAATTAGCAAACAAGTCAAAGATAATTGTGTGTTAAACTTCTCAGGTTAGACAAACTCAAACTGGTGCTACTTTAAAAGAACACTGTCAGGTAGTTTTAGGTACCCAAAATGACTGGGCTTGAGACTTACTCTAAAATGAACACTTTGTTTCCTATCTTTAATTAGCAACATTAAAAGTTTACTATTCCTTTTCAGTACCAGTCTGACTTGATATTTAGTTCTTTGTTATTATTTAGTAAATGCAGGGAAAAGGAAAACACAAGGTCACTGTGCCCAAAGCAATGCCGTCGAGGGCCAGTTTCTGCAAACCCAGCTATGCATGGAAATTCTTTTGAATCACACTATCACTTCTGCATCTGGACCAGCAAGGAAGTAAAGAAAACTACATGACACCTTTCAACATCCTTAAAAATTAATCAAAGTTTTCAGACCAAAAAAGCTAGAATGAGTAAGGAAATATAAACAAATGTAATTGGAAGATACAAAAAGCAACTGAATGTATGTTACAGATGTAATTGACAGTGTTCCTCATTCTACGAAAACATACATGACAGAGTAGCATTTGATCTTAAAATGAACATAATCCTTTTTGTCAAAACATATGTAATTGCTTGGCGACTTTTTTTTGTTTCATTTATTTTAAATCATTGTAACATGACCATCCAGTCCAGTTTTAAAGCGTGCTTCTCTTGATCTCGGATCAGCTCACGTATTTGTATGGCCCTGTTATGAAAATGTGAAAAGATGTCACATGCCATTTTGTATACAAAGATTCCTACTGATTCATTGTGCATATTGTCAATAGACATATGTTCCTGATTATATTGTGGCACTGTTTGTTGAAAAAAAGAACAATCAAAATCAAGCATCATGATTAATTGTGGATTGACTACTTTTTCTGACAAGGTATTTGATTTTTTAGGTTTTTTTCTAGTTTCATCTAATGCATATATATTTTTACCTCAATATTTTTATCATTCATGTTAAAAATGGTCTGCCAATGGACTTTATTTCCCATTTAATAAATGTTTAATGTTAAAGAGTATATGTCTACTCTAGCATTTCAAAGTTGTGTTCTTTTTAGAATACAAACTGCATATTTTTGACCAGGAATTATATATTATATTCAGTGAAGGACAACTATCATACCTCATTTTACAGCTTTTTTGTGTTTATTCAGAATTGATTCTCTCCCTGAATACTTAATATGTTAGAATTTATGGCTCTGTCCTTAAGTCCTAAGTCGGGACTAACTAGAACCAGAGCTCTTCTTTAGTTATATAGTTCACTGACTTCTGAGTTTATTGTTCAAATTTAGGGAACAGAGATTTGGGTGTCGAAGAGATCTGCACAAAATTAAACATTCTCATTTTAAACACTTCAGATTATGCAAACAGACTGAATACTTAAGTATTGCATGGTAGAACAAATACCTGTCTAATAACTAACCTAGCACAGCAATATGAGTTCCACTATAATATTTTGGCACATAATTTCTCTGATTACTAACATTAATAATTTCTAATTTGATAAACTGATACCGTGACACACATTCAAACTTTGGTGTATCTTTAAAGCTTACTACAGAAACTTGTTTCATACTATGGTAGGAGCAATATGTACATGTGAGTGGTGTGTTAAAGGTGTGTGGCAGAGGTACACGTGGAACTACAATTTATATTTTTAAGAATATTTTAATTGATTTTATATACAATGTTTTGACTTATGTAATTTTCTATGTTAATACTTTTAGAAATTGTGTGTGGCGAGCATGTTTGAGTATCATATGGTTCCTAGAGGCTGTCATTCCTGTATTTCTTTGATACTCTGGTATTTTGCTGACTTTTGTTGAGAGTCCAAACCACATGTCTCGTCCTGTAATTCCAACTCAGATGGAACTCCCACTGACCTATAGCAGGAATTCCTCAAAAAGGAAGGATTGCGGAGCTAAACCAAATATAATTTAACTGTCTAAACAGTTAAATAAGGCAGTAATACATCCAGCTGGTTACTACTTGCATTCTTTTATTCCAATTTTATATTAAATAAACTTTCTCAAGATTCCGCTTATAGGAGAAGAGAGTTTCCATTTATACATTATAAAATAGTGCTTTATATCTGATTGTTCCTTTTCTCCAGCCTCCAGAGTAAAGTGGGAGGTTTTCTTCGTTGTTCACTGTTTATTCATATGGTATATAAAAGGGGCTTAGGAGTCTGGATATGCTTAAACAAGTGTAATATTGAGTTATTTTCCGCCATCCATCTGATTATAAACCATTCAGGAAAAACAGGTCTTTATCCACAGTTTAAAATGTAATCAGTCATGGGTTGTACTAATTCAGTTTTATTGCAGTGTCTGCAGAATCAGCATTGATTTTAACATTTCTGAAACAGTGGCCAATGGCTAGATGACCATTTCCTCAGTATCCACTGTGAGAATATTGCTGTAATATGTTGCAAATTTTACATATTTATTTTCTTTTTTAATGTTACCTAAAACGAAGTCTTTGTTGTTTTTATTTTAATCAGTAAATTTACCAAAGAACTGTTTGCACTGTATAATGAATGCTTTTCAGTTAAAATAAAATGGGCCACATTTCCAAGTAAATTCCAAGTGATTTCTTCTCAATACATGTATTGTTTAGATTATTTGCTGAAGATTCCAGTGTGTAGGCTTTTATCAAAGATCCATATTACTTATCTTATGCAGGATTGTCATGATCGAGACTCCATTTCTGAGAACAAAAGAGTGAGCTAATGAATCATGTAGATTCAATAGGTTCTTTAATATTATGACACATAGAATTTAAGTATCTATTTACTGTTTGCTTCTAGGTGATGGGAAACAAATACGCATAGACTCAGAAAGGATATTTAAAAATACATTTATTTCTTAACACAAATGTGTATTTGAAAACTCTTACTCCTGAACATTTTTTTCCTATTTTTTATGGGACTGTCATAATACTTTGTCGTGGTTTCACTCCAGCCGGCAACTAAGCCCCACACAGCTGCTCGCTCACTCCCCCCACAGTGGGAAGGGGGAGAGAATTAGAAGAGTAAAAGCGAGAAAACTCATGGGTTGAGATAAAGACAGTTTAATAGGTAAAGCAAAAGCTGTCCACACAAGCAAAGCAAAACAAGGAATTCATTCACTGCTTCCCATCGGCAGGCAGGTGTTCAGCCATCTCCAGAAAAGCAGGGCTCCATCACACGTAATGGCTTCTTGGAAAGACAAATGCCATCACTCCAAACATCCCTCCCTTCCTTCTTCTTCCCCCAGCTTTATATGCTGAGTATGACGTCATATGGTATGGGATATCCTGGTGGGGTGGTGTGAGAAGCAGAAAAGGCCTTGACTCTGTGTAAGCCCTGCTCAGCAGTAACGAAAACATCTTTGTATTATCAACACTGTTTTGGTCACAAATCCAAAACATTGCCCCCTACTTGGTTCTTTGAAAGAAAATTAACTCTATCCCAGCCAAAACCAGCGCATACTTACATACAGCCTGTTACACAGTTTCTTCACTTCCTCGCATCTTCAAATAGATCCAGTCATGACTTGCCTTCCAATGCACTTGATTCTACATTCATTCTTCACATCATTTCACAGATGGATATCCAGGTTCATGCAATTTCAGCTCAAAATGAGTTTCCTGTGCAAAAGAGATCCTCTTATTTACCTCATGTTGTTTCTCCATCATAGAATATGAATTACTGCTGAGTTACTCTCATCCTTTGGTGAGGTGTTAGGATCTCTAGAGCCCTAGGTCGATTCCTTTGTTAGATCCACCTGAGATTCATCTGTTTCTTCACAACTTCATACAGTGAAGTATTTTGTGATACAATATCATTGCAATTAATATAATTCTAAGTTACCTTACAGTGAAATGGGAGAAGTTAAAGATGGACTCCCAAGATGCAGCGTTAAGAGTCGTTTTCAGGTTGCAGTTGACTGTGCTTCACTATAGTTTGACTTTGAGTATTGCATAAGGCAAATCTAGAAAAGCAGAACTACAATAGGTTTATTTATGTATTTTCCAGCAGGCTCGAAATATCCTGTTGCTCTTCCAAAACGTTGATGAGTAGTATTCAGTCACTATCCTATAAAAATTTTAGGGCAATCAGATTTTTTTTTTCTCCAAATTCAGATAAAATAAGTTTGGCAAAGTACTGGTAACATAAATGGATAATGCATGCTTCTTCTAACAGACATAGTCAGTTCCTAAGCCTAATCTAAAAATACTCAAATATTTACATTTGAACAACTTTTTTTTTTTACCTTGAGACTAAAACAGGCAGAGACTTGAAGAGAAGGTTTTGTTTCAGTAAATAACTTTGTGTTAGTCCAAACAAGACAATAGCCAGGGTTCAACACAGTTAATTGCCAAGAAGTTCGCTAACAGTTATTTAAAAAACAAACCACAAAGTTTAGACATTTAGAATAAAACTCTTGGGCTAATATTGATATATTTTGAGAAAGATTCAGTTATATTTGAAATAAACTGAGTGAGTTGACTTTATTCCTTTTGGTTGATTACAGCTAAGAATCGTTTGGCCGCAGTATGATTGAAGTTGTCTTTACAGGGAATGACCTCCCATGCTCAGTAACCTTTATTTTTAAAATAATATTTTGCTGCCATAGTGTATGTCATTGTATGATCTAAAACATTTTTCCTTACATTTTCTTTTTAATCCCCTACTAGTTTCATACTTTTTTCTTATAATATTTACCAAATCAGTAATCTTTGTAGTGAGATTTTTAGACATGGGACTGTTCCATGGCTTTAGTTTGGAAACTAGAATAAGGTACCAAAAGCTAGTGTATTTGACTAATTTACTCAAGACTTCTGCATTATTCTGTTGTCATATTGTTAAAATAGATTAAATGTTTTGCATATACAGGATAATACAATTATAAAATTACCAGTAGAAAGAAAGACTACTGTCCTCTCATGGTGTCTCTCATCTACGATGTGGGGTTCAGTGAAGTATATTTCAGAATTCACTCCACTAATTTTTATTATGTACAAGAAAAAACGTGATCTGATATATGACAAAAAGCTTGTTAGATAAAATATGTCAACAAAAAATACCAATATGACCATATGCACGTCTCATTGATGCTGAAAGTTTGTCAGACTCTTAGTGGAAGGAAACAACGTTATCCTTATTAAAACTAATGTAAGCCAATAAATTACTAAACATGTAATAAATTACTAGATACTAATACTGCCCTAATCAGCTTTGCATTATGATGTACCTAATCAGGAGATGGTACTGAGTCGTGAAAAGGCAGCGTTGTCTGCTCATACCATATTTTTAAGCAGACATCCGAGCAATATCAGACTGTTATTTTGCAATTATCCTGGCTTCTTAGTT